GAGAAGCCCTAATTCCTACGTGACCATTCTCAGGCACTCCCATGGTTTCTAACACATCCATAACCCTTGCGTCTTTGCTGCCGCATGGATCTCCATCCCCTACCTCCACTGAGACAGCAGACTGAAGGACCTCACTAGCACACCATCCCTCAAATATTGGTGTGCCACCCCCAGGATTATCTCTAGCGAGCCTGGTTTTATCCCTTTCCCCCTTCAAATCTAGTTTAAAGCTCTTTCAATGAGCCCTGCTAACTCTTGTGCAAAGATCCTTTTCCCCCTTTGAGACAGGTGTACCCTGTCTGTCGCCAGCAGGCCTGGTGTCATGTAGATCAACCCATGATCAAAAAACCCAAAATTCTGCTGGGGACACCAGGCTCGGAGCCAGGTGTTGGTCTTGCCTGTTGAACAGGCTCTTCCTGTTTCTTCCCTCACCATTCCCTGCAACTGGAAGGATAGAGAACACTACTTGTGCTCCTGATCCCTTAACCAGTCATCCCAAGGCCCTGAAATCTCTCTTGATTGCCCTTGGAGAAAAGGGTCAGGGACTATTGCTTTATTCAGAGACATGCTCGTATGTCCAGGTGGCCCCTGTTATCCACGTGGGGGGTGAAGTCCAAGCAGAAAGGATGCTCTTCCCGCCTGCACACGCTGTGACACATTGTTATGGTACATAGTGTCAGAGCATTGCAGCCCCTGGGTCCTCTCTGCCTCCCTTTGCCAGCATCAGAGGATGGTGAGAGCCACTGAGGAATGAGGGAAACCCCGATGGCATGTGTGGTGATGGGTTATGGGGGGCCCGAGCCCTTAGTCCTCGTGGGAATTCCAGGCCTGGTACATCAACCACTTCCCACTGGATTTCACGTGCTAGTGTAGCACCCACTTCCCAGAAGTGCCTTTGTGCTGGCACCAGACAGGGCACCCGGGCATGCAGCTGTAAGTCCACACATGCTGCATTTATTCCAGACCAAGTGGCTTTTCACTCCAGTTGCTTCTTCCCACCTTCCAAATCTCCCAGTGCTTCTGCGAGAAGTGTTGTGAAGTCTAAGCCAGCAACGTGAAGCCTCCAGACCCAGGGTCTGCATGGTCCTCTGGGACCCTCGCTTCTGGAGCTGAGCTCTTTAACTCAGTTGCTCCTGCCACTCAGTTTTTGTGTTCGTGGCAAAGGCCAGCAGATCAGGCCACTTTCTAACAGGGGAGCCCAGAAAGAGCAATGCTTTGCACAGGCTTTTGAAACGTGTGTGGGAGGGGAGCTTGTCCATGAATAGCTCCAACAAATTTTAACCGGGTAAGGAGCAGGAGGAAAGTTACTGACCCGTTGCCCTGAGCCACCTGAAGGTGTAGGGCATTTGGAGGTCATTCATTAAAGGCAGTGCTGGCTACACACACGCTTGCAAATCTGCACCCACAAACCTTCAATGCTGCTCAGCATCGCCCCGATCTGAGACACAGGAAGCATTAGGGCACTCATGGACCAGCTTTCCAGAAATAAACAAATGCTGCTTTGTCCACATCTCCCCTCCTGTGTTTCAATCTGCTCTGAGTTACTGGAGCCAAGAAATTAAAACACCTTGGGTCTGGGACTTGGGATGAAACTACTGATCTCTCCAGCCCATGGCACATGGAAAATTGAATCAGAAGCTGTAGGGACTTGCAGAGAGCAGGCAGGCTTTTTCCTTCCCCTCAGCAAAATTTCCCCATGATGTCCCACTAATTTCACTACTTCGTTTAAGACTGGAGTCCTAAAGGGGTGTCCCTGTTTCCTCACTGTGGTTAGTGACCTCAGGCCTGGAAAAAGACACACAGAGACTGCAGTTTGGAGGAGAGAGCAGGAGTTTGCATTCCCCCCACCTCGTACAGCTGGGCACCATCACAGGCAAAGTCTTTGCCTCCTGTTAGAGAGCAGAGCAACCAGCAGAGAGCCAAAGCCAGGTCCTGGGCAGACCAACATACTTATAGACATTGCCCCAGTCTCTAAACCACAGCATGCTGCTGTAATGTCTCGCCAGTCCGGATGATGCTAATTAAGCAGTAGTACCTGGATATAATGTGCTTCCTTACGTCCGAGGCACTAATGGTGCTCAGCAAAGGCATGCAGCAATTAGTCCATCTTCAGGTGTTGCCCCCACAATAAATCAATAGCTATTAAGGATAATTTATCCCATTTTTTAACAGTCACTCAGTTTCCCCCATTCTGAATCTTGATTTCAGTTACCAGCCTGCAGTGGGGCTTATTAAACCACAGTGCTTTTGAACTCAGAAGAGAAAGAATGTGGGTCCTCTGATGCCTTTCACAGCCACTTACATCAAGATGTGCTTTACCTGTTGCATGCACATCTGCAAATGTCCACCGAGAATCAGGGTTGGAGAGACCAGAGCATCAGAACTAACACCCCTTGTGCCATGCCAGGACGTATTTGATCACAGGGGAGCAGTGAAGTTAAAAGGGTGGCAGGATCAGAGAGGAGAGCTGTAAGAGCTCTCTGTCTACCTCCTCCGTCCCTCATGCCAACAGAGAGGAGGCCCAGCATGAGTTCGGGGTTAATGGCACAACTCTAGACACACGGGGTCTCAAGATACTGCTCTGCCAAAGACTGCCCTGTTCTAGCGAATCCCATAACTCCTTCATCCCCATCTGCCTCTGGGGACAGTAGCATACCTGCAGTCTCCAGTGAATGAACACATTCAAAGGGCTGTGAGGTGTTACAGCACTATCGTGGTCACACTGGTGTTTTCAACAGGACAAAAATGAATGTGGGAATTGTCAAAAGACAGAAAGAGCAGACATCCGAGGGATGTCCCCGGTAGCACCGAGCAGAACATGGGGCCTCTTTGGACCAGCCCCCAACAACTCTTTCTAAGTGTCTCAGACGTATGGATCACTGTGCGCAGGGAAGGAAAACCCACGCAGGTAAAAACCACCTGCTCTCAGAAACAAAAATAGAAATGAGAATAAATAGACTTTGAAATGTCTCTAGTACCTTTACCTGCAGAGGGTTCTTTGTGCTTATGGCAATGACGTGATACTTGTAGTAACACAGCTCACAGCTCCAGCAGCCTCTCTCACTAATCCATTTGATCAGACATGGCTGGTGCGTGCACTTCACTGATCCATCGCATCGACACGGGCTCAGCAACTCCCCCTGAAAAAGAGAGACAGCATCAGTGAGGCTCCCCTCCTCCCACAGGGCCTGAGCACAGCACAGCATGGCACAGCAGAAGCTCCATCATCCACCCATTTGCTCTTTGTTCCTTTTTACCTGGTTTGGCTTAGGTAATCGTGCTGCCTCTACCCATTTTCCCTCTAATAATTCTTGGCCGATGTGAACAGAGTTTGACACGGATGTAACAGTCTCAAATACTTGGGTCCTACAATTTTTTGTGGAAAGAGACAGCTGGGTAGATGAAAGATGCCTAATATCACTGCTGAAGGAAAAGCTAGATGAGCACAGCTCTTACTAGACACCAGAGCACCCACACTAGACCACAACAAGTGGGGACAGCTCTGTTGGCAACCAGAAGCCACTGTTTCACTGCTCAGGTTTCTGTCTCTCTGCTACTTGTTTTAGAAAGTGAGGTTGGTGGTGGAGATAGCTGTGAGACAGCCTCTGCTGCAGGCTGGCGTCCTGTTCAGTCCAGGGCGGCTTCCTCGAGCCTAGCCGGACAGGAGGGGGAGCGCAGACGCGGTGGCCCTTGGACTTTCTGCACAGGCTGGCTCGTGCTGGCCCGGGGGGGGGTGCCACAGGCTGGCTCGTGCTGGCCGTGGAGGTGCTGCTCCTCTCTGGGAGCTGGACTGAGCCCAGCACCATGCAGTACCTCCCAGGGCTTGCCAGGCAGTAGGCGTTTGCAGCACTAGACACAGGTCTCTCCTTCCCAATGCTCCCGGACTGGGAGGGACGAACCTGACCATGGGTGGCAGGTGCGTGCTTTAGGTCCAGGTCTTTGTGTACCCATAGCCCAGCAGGGAAAAGGTCCTCAAATTTCACCCCCCCCCATCCACTTCCCCCAGACTGTCCCAAAAGTGAGTCATACTGATGGATAGGCCATAGGGCTGGCTATTTCCACCCTAGAAGTGAGCAAGATGGAGAACAAATTGTGTCCTGGCTTGTGACACACAGACATTTATGAGTGGTGGCTGAAATGCTGATCCTCCTGGCTTGCTCCCTTGTTTCTGGTGTAGCTTTAAACAGGGGTATCCAGGAAACCTCAATATTATTCTGATCCAGCTGCTATCGTCCTGTTCACCGTGGGACTAAATTCCCCTCTGCACACACAAGCTCAGGAGCTCATTTTACAGCCATTTGCCATCACTTATTTAGGGAAGAACAGAGCCATTACATTTTACTCCCCACCTTTTAGTGTTTAAAAGCCACACTATAGACCCCAATTGTCTATTTAGCTGTGCTCCAGGATTTAAAAGCTTTTAAAGGCAGAATGAGAATATCTACGGGATGGGGAAGGCTGGCATCATACTTTCAGTGTTGGGGAGAGGATATTTCCTCCTACACCTCTAGATCAGCCCCATCATTACCACCGATGTAGCACAAAGATAACAGACCCTAGTGTCTGAGGCTGCTGCACACAGTAAAAGACATCCATCCCAGCTGCCTTGGGTCAGGAAACCAGATCCTGCTCTTGCTAACCCTGGCGGGAAACTGCCTTAGCTTTCAGGGTACCACATCAGGTCTCAGGACCTGAAGAACTGAGCACCACGCTAGGCAAGAGTGATACTTTTTTTTATGAAACCTAATGCAAACATGTTAGTAATTTCATTTGCTTCAGCTAGGTGACCTAAAAATGTCATCTTCCATTAAATTCTAGCAAAACTGTAAATAACTGTTTACATTACAAAACCAGGCTCAGCTCTACCTGTCACTGGTTTTCATTACACACAGGAGGGGATGCAAAGGGAGAGGGGGAGGAAGGAGGGTTGTAGGATCCGTGAATCTTTTTCACCTGGAAAGGTGTGACAGGACAAGCCAGGAGAAAGGAAGCAGGGAAGGATTAGATAGGAGGAAGGTGCATGTGGGAAGGAGCACTGACACTTGGCGTTCAAACTCCCTGTGTCAGATGCAGTTTGAGGGGCTCAGGTTCGTCTGTGCGTGTTTGTGCCCCTTGCTGGGACTGGGGTGGGAAACCACAAGTGTGATAAGGAACCTGCATGAGCATGTACTGCCAGCCAGGATGCAAAAGGGCAGGGATCAGGGCTTAGCACAGCTCCTCTGCTCCCCTGCTCGCCAAACCTCTTCCACACCAAGAGCTAGTCTGGTACAAGGACGGCTGCTCTGTGCCTCTAGGCTACTCTCCTCATCTCAGTCCCTGGTACTTTATTTTCTCAACAGCTTCACTCCTCAGTGCACAAGTATGATCCCAGAACCAAGCAGGTAACGCAGAAACCTCCCAGCTCTACAGCATCCCTGCCTTTCCACCTCACCGCACAACGGGGTCCTCTGTGGGGCTCAAAAGGGTGAGTGAGGGACCTGGGTTTTGACTAATGAGCAGCTGGAGGCACCGGTGATGAGGGATCAGGAATGGGGCAGAATGGAGCAGGAACTAAGAGCAACAACCTCCAGGCAAAGGCAGAAGAGAAAAGCTGTAGCTGGAGCCTGGACTCACATTGGCTTCTTGGGCTCTGTAATAAATGAGTCTAAAAAATCTGAGCTTGTCTCTTCAGAGCCAAGAGATGTCCATAAACATCCTACACTGCCGTGGGCACCTGGTCCCCCTTCCCTAATTGGGATGCTCCAACCTAGACAGTCCTGCCGGCTTCTGCAGGAGCTCAGGACTCAACTGTGGAGATGAATCCCCCAGTATCTTGATTTTTGCAAATCCAGCAAAAACCTGATTTACCACATTTTCTCCAGCCATGTGAAATATTATATCCTTGTGTGTGGTGCACAGCTATTTTTGCATACTGTGAAGCCCAATTCTGTCCACAGCAGGCATTTGTAAAACACTGCCACACGCACACATGCGCACACACACTCCTGTACCAGCAGAAAAATAAACAACAGGGGCATATTAAAGGAATAAATCCTTTGTACAGCAAAGGAGAAGGAGTCTCATCGCTGGCTGTACAGTGAGCTCAGGAGCAGTCCATCGGCTGTGATGCGCATGTAGGACTTGCTGTGCAGAGACCTCTGCTAAAACCTACACGCATGCAAAAGCAAGCCCAAAATGAGGTGCAGATCACAGCAATTAGAGATGGAAATTAAATCCCCACGCCCGTTTTTGTAGGTTTGTAGAAGTCAGCTCCACACAACATATTCTCCAGTGCTTCAAACAACAGTGTTCCCACCAATTCCCTTTGGGGACTGCTGTCCAAAGACCGTTTGAAGGGTCTACTTCCCAACACTTATTTTTGCAATTTTCCTTTGTACAGTTACAACCCATCACTCAGATCAGCCTAAGCAGCATTTCTGCTTTATCAGCAACTAGTGGAGAAATGCTCCCCAGCTGCAAGCTGAATCCTCAGCTTGCTCAGTACCATTTTGTTCCCCGGAAACAACCAAGTGGGCTTAGGACTCAGGGCACCTGCTTTTTTTTTGTTGTTATCCAAGTCTAAGTTAGGGTTCATGGCAAAGATGGAAAACCAGAGTTAACAAAAAGGGAAGGGTGGCTCTGGCTTCAGCCATAATCCTCTCAACATTTCATCAACATGGATGAAATACACTTCCCTATATACTATTACTCTTCCCTACTCCTGGGAAAAGTAATATATTAAGCAATTATGTATAATATTCTTTCCTTATTTCTGGCTGTGATGGGAGCTTGTCTTTAGGAGCAGCAGCGGCAAGGCCAGGCTGAACTGGCTTTACCCTGAGGAAGATGATACTGCTGGAGACGAACCAGGAGTGCGGGTCTGTTCCAGCTCTGTCCTTTCCTTAGGAATTCCCAATCTGTGCCCCTTGCAATACGTTTGAGAGGTTGATGATTATCTGGGCCCTGCTATTTTAAGCCTACTGGGAGGAGTTCTGAGAAAGGATGGAAAAAAAATTATTGCCAGCACACGCTTCTGATGCTTGGTATATCTAGGCAGAAAACGACGTCAGGAGCAGCGTCACCCCTGTTGCGAGCTGGTGTCAGTGTTTCGCCCGGCTGTTTTATCTGCCATTTATCAGTGCTGGGAGCCCATCCACACATCGCTACCAAAGCTGCAGCTGCTCACCCACCAGCAGGCGGTCATGGGATGTGTTTCCCAGGCCTGTTCTTTTAACTATAAATTAAGTATAGCAAATTTGCCCACCCGGTCTCCTTTGAACATGGCAGGGCTGGGGACGATGGTGTCACTGGGCCAGGACTGGTCTTCTGGGCTCTCCCAGCTCCAGCTGTGATGACCTACGTCTGCTGCCTGGGCTGCTCCTGAGCACCAGCTCAGCTGGAAAGAGCCACATTAGCAACATCCTGCTACCACAACTATTAAAGCAAACATTTTGAAAACCAGTGCAAGCTGTACGGCAAACCAGGATGGCTGATGGTGATCTTAACACCTGCAGTTTTTCCTCAACTGTGTGTTTTCCCTGCTCAGGTGTACAAAGTAGCATCAAGTCATTAGCATCGCCCGCAGGACCAGTGCTCCAGGCCAGAGCGGGACAGTGAGAAGAAGCTGAAAGAGTCGTCCACTTCACAAGGGCTACAATCTCTCTCTGGGTATGCACATGCAGCTGCCACTGCTCACAGGAGTAGCTGCATGTACGGATCTTACTGCTAGCATTTATCTGAGTTTGTCTTGTTTGGAAAAGGAAACCAGGAATATTTAATTTCAGGTCTTCAACTGAGTCTCCTAAATACCCTTAAATCTTCACATTGAATTTAAATGCAATGGGAAGTTTTATGGCAAATAAATGCCAAATTATTTCTATATTAGGAACATAATTACAGAGGAATTAAATCTGATGGCAAAGAGAAACCCATTGTTACAGAGCTGGTAAACTTCAATAAACAGGTACTAATGATCACTCTGTCTTCACACACACTTACAGGAACTGCCCCTCCATGCTTTTAAACCTAAACACACACGTTATTATCAGCATCTCAAATGTTTCCTGTGAGTACCCTTCTGTGTGTGAACACTGTGCCAGCCAGCAACAGACAACAAGGGACATGAAATAAGTATCTGTGAATATATATATATATATATATA